GTCAAGGAGGCGAGTTCCGGATTGATGAGAATGGTGTTATGAGATTTGGTAATAGGGTGTGTGTTCCGGATGTTGCAGAGATTATGAAGAGTATTTTGGAAGAAGGACATCGTAGTGGATTGAGTATTCATCCTGGTGCTACTAAAATGTACCATGATTTGAAGAAGTTGTTTTGGTGGCCGGGAATGAAAAAGGAAATTGCTGAGTTTGTGTATGCTTGTTTGGTTTGTTAGAAGTCAAAGATTGAGCATCAGAAACCGTCAGGATTGATGGAACCGTTGTTTGTTCCGGAATGGAAATGGGATGGAATCTCTATGGATTTTGTGTCTGGTTTGCCAAGGACATCGAAGAATTGTGATTCTATCTGGGTTATTGTTGATCGATTGACGAAATCTTCTCACTTTATTCCGATAAGAATGGATTATCCGATGGAAAGGTTGGCAGAATTGTATGTTGAGAAGATTGTGAGTTTGCACGGTATTCCTTCTAGTATTGTGTCGGATCGAGATCCTAGGTTTACATCTAAATTCTGGATGGGATTGCAAGATGCTTTGGGTACTAAGTTACGTTTGAGTTCCGCTTATCATCCACAGACAGATGGTCAGACGGAGAGAACGATTCAGTCGTTGGAAGATTTGTTAAGAGCTTATGTGTTGGAGAAAGGTGGAGCTTGGGATAGTTATCTACCATTGATTGAGTTTACCTACAACAATAGTTTTCATTCGAGCATTGGTATGGCTCCGTTTGAGGCATTGTATGGTAGGAGGTGTCGGACACCATTGTGTTGGTATGAATCTGGAGAGAGTGTTGTGATTGGACCGGAAATTGTCCAACAGACTTCGGAAAAGATTAAGATGATTCAGGAGAAGATGAGGACTTCTCAGAGTCGTCAGAAAAGTTATCACGATAAGAGGAGGAAAGATCTTGAGTTTAGAGAAGGAGAACATGTTTTTATGCGAGTTACTCCGATGACTGGTATTGGTCGAGCTTTGAAGTCAAAGAAGTTGACTCCACGTTTTATTGGTCCATTTCAGATTACCAAGAGAGTTGGGAAAGTTTCTTATCAGATTTCTTTACCGTTGTCACTTGCAAATTTGCATGATATTTTTTATGTATCTCAGCTAAGGAAGTACATTGCTGATCAGTCTCATGAGATTCGGGTAGACGATATACAGGTACGAGAGAATTTGACTGTGGAAGCGGTACCTGCGAGAATTGAGGATCGGAAGTTGAAACAGTTGCGAGGCAAGGAGATCGCGTTGGTAAGAGTGGCTTGGGAAGGACCAGCAGATGAAAATGTCACTTGGGAGCTGGAGAGTCAGATGAAGGACTCGTATCCCGAACTGTTCGTCTAAGGTATGTTTTCGAGGACGAAAACTCTTTTAGTTGGGGAGAGTTGTGACACCCCAAATAATCTGATTATTAAATAATTAGAATTTTTAATTATTAATTTAATTGGAAATTTAATTATTGGTATTTTTGGATTATTGGAATTAATTTAATTAATTAAAGGAAAGAAGTATTGGTGGTGTGAAGAGTGATTAAAGGGTGTGAGGGGTAAAATACTCTACTCTTACTAATTACTAATTTAATTATTTTATTGGAATAATAAAAGGAGTATTAAAAGGAAAAAGAAGAGAAAGAGAGTTATTTTGGAATATTCATCATACGTGCATTTGAGAAGAGGAAAAAGAAGGAGAAAACCGGAAGCGTCAGAATTCAAAGAACCCACAAGGTAAGGGGTGATTTCGATTAGTTAATTCGTATTATCGGTTTAGATATTCAATAGTATGGATCATAGTATGTTAGGGAATCCCGGTTTGGAATTCTAGGGTTCCGTAGAATTGTCTCTATTGCGTCGAATTGTAGGTTGAAAACCATTAGGGTGTCAGATGATAAAAAGGAATGATGAAATAATATTGTTTGATGTTATAATGGTGCAAAATGGATGTGTTTTGGTGTTTCTCATGTTGCAATTCGTATGGGTATGTTTGGAATTGGTTTAGAATGAATAAATGCTGTCAAAAGTGCAGAATTTGACTCTGCAGGTCGTGGGAACCGGTGCCCAGTGGGGAGGAACCGGGTTCCACTGTGTGAATTTATAAAAACTGGCAAAAATGCACGTAGGAACCGGTTCCTGTATAGGTAGGAACCGGGTTCCCATACATTTTTCCAAAAGCGTGATTTTTGAACTTCGCAGGAACCGGTTCCTGCATATGTAGGAACCGGGTTGTGCTGTAACTTTTTGAAAAATATTAAACTTTGGACGTTATTTCTTAAATTTAATGCTCTATTTTATAAAATGAAAAGATTTCCTAAAACCTGAAATTATTTTGAAAATGAGTCAAATCCCGGAATAAGTGATTATTGGCTAACGCACATGGGTGTGTATGTAGCAGTGAACCTGTGATGGATGGATGTATTAGTATTGTGTGAATGAAAGGCATGTTTATGTTGCTAATGATGGTGTGCATGATCGTTGAGATATCATGTTTTTGGTTTTGGTTCAGTTATGATAAATTGATGTATTTCATAGACTGATTTGATGTTGCATGCTAGTGATGTGCGTGCATATGCATTGTTTTGGTGAAGTTAATTCCCACTGTATGGAATTTGACTTGTATTGTCGTTAACCGATACCCGGGTGATGATGGGTGGTTAGGCTGGATTCGTGTCCGGGTGTTTATGGACGAATCGATGGTTGCTGTATCCGGTTGATGATGGATCAGTGTTGGGTGACTTGGTCACGTGTTGGTACCACATGCATTGTGTCTGCATTTGTGTTTGCATGGAATTGTAACATGTTAGGATGTCTTCCAGTGTTACAATTCTTTGGTTGATTATTGATTTGTGCATAATGACTTGTATGATTGGAACTGCATGTTGAATCTGAATTTATGCTAAAATGGGTGAAATAATATGCTTGTGATATAATGTTGATTGAGAAGCTTATAATGCATGTTAATTATGAGAAATCTCACCCTTACTTTAACAATTTCAGATTAAAGTTAGCAGCTCAGGAGTTGGTGAGGATGGCTCTAGAGCTATGCTACTTTAAGTCCGCGTGTCAGTGTCGTGCTCTGATAGGTTATAACACTGGGGAACGTTTAGTTGAGGAATTAGTTATTATTCAATTGTTTCTTTGAATTTCATTGGGAATAATTATGTTTTGGTTTATTCCGTTTTGGTTATGGTATTTTTCCGCTGTGTAAGACATGGTCTTAAGTTGATTGAATTATTTGAATAATGACCCTCAGTGTAGCATGACTACTGTTTTATTGGAAGTTTTATTTATTTCATAATTGTAACATCCCTTGTTCCGTGTTAACTCTGATAGAATATGTCTTTAATCATTGATATAATTAATATTATTCGGGGTAGTTTAGAAGGGGTGTTACACAACTCATGCGCCTCTAGACTACTTTGCAGCTCTTCAACTTCCATGGTGCTCAGATCTTTAGAATATTCAATTGCTACCACAATGTAATCAAACTGAGAAGTTAAAGATCTCAATACCTTCTCTATGATTACTTGTTCAGAAATAGTTTCTCCACAAGCTTTCATCTTATTAGTGATCAGAATCACTCTAGAGATGTACTCAGAAACCTTCTCGTTGTCCTTCATGTTGAGATTCTCATATTGCTTTCTGAGAGACTGAAGCTTCACCTTCTTCACTGATGCGTCACTACAGTAACATCTGACCAGTGTGTCCCACGCAGCCTTTGCTGTTTCAGAGTCAACAATCTTCTCAAACACATTCGCATCCACACACTGATGGATGTAGAGCAAGGCCTTATGATATTTATTCTTTATCGCCTTCAGCATTATCTTCTGTACTTCTGTCGTGTCTCCTGCTAACAGAGCATAGCCGTCGGTGACAAGGTCTAACACATCTTGAGAATCAAACAACACATGCATCTGGATCTTCCAATGATTCCATTTTTTGCCATCAAACAGTGGAAGCTTGGAATTAATATCGTTGTTTCCATTCATCTTCAACCTTGTGCAATTCACTCAAAAACTCAGTAAAACACAGTGTTTCCCAATCTCGCAGAATCAAAAAATTGTGATTCTCAATCACATAACACCTCACGGTTCACTCGTGTTTCCTGTGTTTCCCCGTGAATTTCGAACCGTGGATTTCCCGTATTTTAGTATTTTATTATACTCTAATTTTGTGTATAAATAACTTAGTAATATGTCAATATAATTATTCATTACTTCTTATTTTGTAGTCGTCATTCAATATATTCCTTTTGTTTTTCATCTCTCATTGTGTACCAACAATTGGTATCAGAGTCTTTGGTTCGAGAAAGGGACTGACTTGTTTGTATTGAAAATATCTCCACATGATCGTGGGTAAGAGTCCCGCATGTGAGTAGAGTGTCCCGTTGTAAGATGTCAACGACGATATAAATGAGGGAGCATTATGGACTCACACTTGAGGGGGAGTGTTGGAATAATATAACAAGTGTGAGTAAGTAGAATGTGGAGACTTAAGCATATATAAGTGGGAGAACCCACTCACCTATCACCTTAAGGTTTTAGGTAGATAAGTGGTGTGTCTCTCACAAAATTGCTCATTCTTACACTATATATTAATACTCTTAGTGTAACTCCCTCCCACAATTGCAACGTAAATTTTGATAAAGAAGAGTTTATAATGCACAGTTGAAAAACACTTAAAATTAAGATTATTTAAAAGTAAATTGAGTTTTTATTTTTTATTTGAGTTTTTATAAAAATATTTAAAAAACTTAAGTGAAATTGTCTTAAGGAGTTTCTAATGTAATAGGTGCGTGAATTTTGATAAGTTAAACCAATGGTTATTAAAAAACAAATATTGTGCTCAAGTTAGTTTCTACAAAAATGAAGTCATCGAAAGAATATGTATAACAACAACAACATTCAACATGATAACAACTCCATTATAAAAGTGCCTCAAACCATCTCATCTATTGTTGAGTAACCTATTCAAAATTGTTTTCCATTGAAGTTGGTTAAAAATTTATGTCTCTTCTCTCAGCAAAAAACTTTCCTGTAATAGCTTGTTCAGGAATAAGAGAAAGCCAAACACCAGTATCAGCACCATCCTCAACTGTAATACTTCCACAATAACCTGTTAGGGCTGTTTTCACCCAACCAGGACAATAACAGTTGATAAAAATCTTTTCCCCTTCAGGCCTATCAGAAAGCTTCCTTGCCATAAATCTTGTATAAGCATTAACAGCCATTTTCGACACGGAATAATCAGTAAATGTTCGAGGCCACCCTCCCGATTTCCATGTTCCGTCTTCAACTTGTTGTAGAAAAGTCGTCACAACACCATCAATCAGTTCCTCAGTAATATTCTCCACATCACTAAGTTGCTCTCTCAATTCATCATTCTCCAATCTCTAAAACATTACCAAAAAAACATTCGACTTTAGTCAATAACTATTTCAAAATCACGTGAATGGTTGATTTTTTTTACACTTACATTTCGCTTTCCGTTTAGTCGGCCTAGACGCGAGCTCACATTTACTATACGGCCACCAGCGTCGGTTGCCTTCATCAACGGAATCATAGCTTCGATCATACGTTTGGTTCCGTAATAGTTTGTATCAATAACCACCTGAGCATTTTCAACTGAATTATTCGACCCAAAGTTGAAATTAACACCTGCATTGTTTACCTGCAAATATATATGATACATTAATACTTAGATACATATAATACAAGCTTACACAACTTTTTAATTATTGTTATTAATAACCGATGTATTTGATACTATTGAGATATATGGTAACCATATGCTTTGTAAACTTGCCAGGATATCGATGCCACCATAATTTTCCTTGAGCCATTCAGAGAATTGGGTGATGGATGAAGAATCTAATACATCAAGCTGATGACAAGACACATCAAGACCACCTTCTTGTAAGACCTTAATTGATTCAACACCAACACTTGCATCTCTTGATGTTAGTATTACAGTTACTCCGTGATCAGCAAGTTGTCTAGAAATTTCAAATCCAATTCCTCTATTTCCACCAGTAACCACAGCAATTGTTTCCTTAGACCACCACCTATACATGTGTATATAAGCCCAAAGTTAATTATAACACATGCTAATGAGAAATATATTATTCATTAAATTCATGTACATCTGCAAATATTAATTCCTTGAGTCAGACAGAGTTAACCCAGACATGAAACCTAATTATAAAATGAAAGAACATGGAGCTAGAAATGAAATGCAACCTCTGGTGATCAGAATAAGGAATGGTCCTCAAAAGTGATATCTCTTGCAATCTCTTTTCTTTTCGATCTTTTGATTTTTCTTTGTTCCCCATTTTTTTTCTTATCTTATTGAGGGATATATTAATTTAGCAACAATGCCATGAAGATAAAGTGATGTTTGAATTTTGGATTGAACAGTGTGACGTTGAAGATGGAAGTGCATAGGAACAAATTGTATCAGATATGAAAATCTATGACACGTTGTTGGTCTAAGCACCAATGTTGCTCATTTGGTCAAATGTTTAGAACTAGACCTTAGGCTAACTTTTGTTCGGCATACTTTAAGGAAAACCATTGTAACAGAATGTTCATAAAAAAGTATATACTTTTTTCAAAATAATTACTACTCCTCTGAAAATACTTCCCTATGTCCTTAGTAAAATATTAAGGACAAAACATTATTATTATTATTATTATTATTATTATTATTATTATTATTATTATTATTATTATTATTATTATTATTATTATTATTATTATTATTATTATTATTATTAATCATAAATAATTATTTTTTTGGACAGTTAATGGAGTTAATGAAATTATATAATATATTAAGTTATTATTATTATTATTAAAAATTGAATTTTGATAGAAAATTTTTTGTTGAAGAATACAATAGTGTAGGTAGATCTTCAAAATACCACCTGTATTTTTCAAAAATTTTATGAAAATTCAATTTTGATTTTAATTTAAAAGAAAGCTTCTAAATACATATTTGTGATTTTACTCACCGGTAAATTTTTTGTTTTTACTTTTAGATTTTTACCTGTGATTTTTTTGCTTTGAAAGGATTGTTGAACTTATTGATGAATTTTATATTTTTATATGTGGATTTACTTGTGATTTCTTTCACCGATAAAAATAAAAAATTCGTATATAAAATCAAAATTATATTATTATGGACTCCCTGAAAAATACATGAAATTTTTTGAAAATCTCAAAAAATAAAAAATAAAATAAATGAGTTGTGTTGAATCGAATTTTAAATATGTCAGATAATATATACTTTATTAAATATATGATATATTTTCACTTATTAGTAATAATAATTATTTTGAAAATATATATATATTCTCATTGATCTTTATTATAAAAATATTTTATTTTAAATATATTAAATAATTAATGTAGTTGATTTTATATCATTTAAAAGCACTACTATATCAAACGAAAATTTTCTTTTCAAAATTTCTCGAATGATGATGTGTATAGCTTTTATAATAATAATAACAACAATATGTTAATATAAAAGACACACTTGTCACGCATGTGTTTTCACTTCCATCTAATTTTTAACCTAAAGTTTAGTTTAAAATACTTATATAGACCCATTGTAGTTTAATGTCTCAATTTTTATGATATGTGAAGTTCTGATTGGAACAAAGCAACAAACTTAACTCATAGAAATCTCAAATAATGCAACAAAAACGTCTCGTTCTTTTATACTTTGCAATAGTTCTTGCAAGCAAAACTTTATGGAAGAAGAAGTTTGGGAAGGAAAGTCTCAAAAATTTTATCATGTAAAGTGAACAATATACACCAAGATTTACTTCAAGACATGAAGGAATTAGGCCAGATTGTTAGGTTGTTATAATTTGGTTTATAGAGTTTAACATTGAGGTATATGTGCATATAGTGGAAACTATAAATCTCTAAATCTCTTAACTATGCAGTGTGAAGAAGAGTAAATATATGTTATTATATAATTTATCTAACACTTTTTTTGTATAACTTTATCTCATGGATTAGTTTTTATGGAATTATACTATTTTCCTCTCTATTATGTTCTTTTGAATTATTCTACTTTTTTTTTTATGATGTCAAAAGAGGGGAAAAATGATAGGTAAGTTTGTTTTTGTTCATGATATTTTTAAGGAGAAAAAGAAAAGTTATGTATTGCAAAAGATAGAGGAGATATACAAGATAATAGGGTTTTTAGTTGTTGCAAAAATTATAAGATTCATAAATATTGAAGTAATTCGTTGATGAATAAATTTTTTTTTAAAGAATGTTTGTCATCATCAAATGGGGAAATTATGAAGAAGAGTTTCTCCTTGACTTTAATTAGAGTTTTGATGAAGACAATATATTACCAAAAGAAGAAAAAGATAAAGTCAACAATGACAACAAAAGAATATAAAGATGAAGACAGTGATTGATCGTTGATGATTGATGTTGATCTTTAAAATTTTAGTTAAAAGTCTTAATTTTTAAGATATCATAATTTATCTCTTATATTACTTAATAGCGCATAAATATAACTTAAACTTAAACTTAAAAGTTCTTAAAGGTCATGCATAAAAACCTTTCAAGCAATGTCATGGAAAAGTTGATTTTCTTCACTTTCAAAGTTGGTGTAAACGATTACGTGAAAGTGATAATAAGTTACTAGTTCATTCTATTTTTCATAAATTATGACAGTCGAAACCGTCATAATAACACTTTCATAACCACGGTAATTATCTTATTTTTGAAATAACATTACTAATTGAATATGTTTCAAAAATTTTAACGTTAGAAGAGTGATAACCGATTACACTCTGATGATAACCGATTACACTTGAAAGAAAGTGACTTTTCATATACCAACTTCATTCCAAATCATGACAAGAATTTTATGAAACCTTTATATATTTATACGTTTCATAGAGGTTTTTAAAAGTATATATAATGCATTTTGATATTAAAAACAACACAACAATTTTCATACCATTTTTCATATAATTAAATGTTCACTTTTAAGAATTGTTCATTTTAAAAATGATTTAAAACTGTGTAAACTTTCATAAACCATAAAAATTTCAAACCAAAACAGATTATGAATACTATGTGAAATTACACTAATAAAATACTCTTTTATAATTCTTATTATTTTAATTTAACGATCATTGAGTGATTGTTTTGGGACACACTTACATACATGATTTTTACTAAAGATAGCTTCTTCCACTTTTGATAATAAATAAAAACGTGATTCTTTTTAATATTTCTTAAAAAATAAGAATTCTAAAATATTTTTAATTCTTAATTAAAAATATTTTCTTCTTATTTCTAAAATAATTTCAATTTTTTGTATTTTATTTAAATTAATTTTGTTTATAATTAATTTAGATAAATAACTACTTAGTGTGCTAAATATATCATTAAGAAAATCATGATTCATAATAAAATATAATATGAATTTTTAATTTTTTTAAAATCATATTCTATTTTTTGGGGAAGAAATATAACATTATATTGCACCAAAACAATGAATACACGGTATGTTATCTAATGTGGGGATGCACCACCCTCTTTATATAAGGCTATTTATCATTATACTCCCTATATTTGCATTTTGAACATGTATCACATAACAAATCTTGTTTCTGTAACTCCAGGTTTATGATCAAGTGTTTTCACTTGGTTACAAAACCCATAATTAGTTATGGCTAGCATACTAAACCTGTGAAGCCTTTCCTTTGTGGCCAGTTTATTATGGTAAGTTATCCACAAAATAAACATGGCACGAGGTCTAACAAAATTCATGTGCAGGAGGTGTCCCCGTTCCACTTTAGAATGATCTTGTTTCAAATAACTATACACTTTTATGCTATCAAAAGACCAAATCATGTTCCAGTCATTTTGTAAAAGGTGATAAGCTCACATTGGTGAGATGCTGAAAGAAGGAAGAAGAATGCAAGAAGCAGTTGGAAAATGTAACAGAAATCAGTTACAATGTTGCACCAGAACTTGCTCATTTTATTAATTGATCAATATATGATACAGTAAGTAATATATATACAAGGATAAATGATAGAAAATGAATGGATAACAAAGGATGTAAAAACAGTATACGTGGCATCCCATAATAGGCTAAAAACCATAGAATATATGAGAACTAATTCTATCTATATAAACTAGGATATTAACAGCCCCCCTCATGTTGGACTTTGGATATTGCGAAGTTCCAACTTGACCAGTGTGTTCTTCAATGCTGGTGAGTGCAGTGGTTTAGTCAACATGTCAGCCAATTGGTCATGGGTGGATATAGGTAGGAGATGAATGAGCTTGGACTGAATTTTCTCGCGAACTACATGACAGTCAAGCTCAATGTGCTTACTCCGCTCGTGAAAGGTAGGATTGTGGACTAAGTAGATAGCTGATCTACTGTCACAGAAGATAGATGAAGGTTGAGAGAAAGCAACATGTAGGTCACGAAAGAGATAATGTAACCACTGAATCTCACAAGTAACGGATGCTAGAGCCCGGTATTCTGCTTCAGTGGAGGACCTAGACACAGTGTGCTGCTTTTTGGATTTCCAGCATAGGAGAGAGGAGCCAAGCATGATACAAAAGCCAGTTATAGATTCCCATAGCAGTTTCCCTTTGATTCAGGATTTCTTTTAACATCCAGGAAAAGCTAGGTTTCACTTGGAACTGCATCAGAGGATCTCCTTTGATATAATACGCATGCATCTACTTTATTCAAAGAGAGTCAACTTTACCACTTAAGTTCCATAATAGCTTTTCAAGGTGTGTCTTGTTCCAATCCTCCAGGTCCATCATACTCAACCCACCTTGATCCTTATGGGCACACGCTTTGGCCCAAGCAACATGAGACTTCTTAGTGACTACTGTAACGCCCTGATATTTAATTATTCATTTAATTAAATATTTTTGAATATTTTATATTAATTCAAATTTTTATCGTCGAAGTCGGAATTATTTTATTAAGTTGGAATAATAATTAATCGGATTAATTTGGTAGAACTAAGTTGAAGTATCATTTTATTATTAAGCTTAAATATGATTTTGGGCTTTAATTGGTGGTGGTGTGTAGTGATAAAGGGGGTATGTCACTTAGACCTGATCAAACTTGGACCGTCACGGCTGGCTCCGAGCTGAAAGTTTTGAACGAGGTGGGGGGGGGGGGGGGGGGGTACCTGCAAGACACTCTGATGCTGAAGTAAGTAAGAGCACGAGCAGGCAATAGTAAGTATGGGTAGAATGATGAATACCTGACCCTCTGGAAACAGAGGGTATTTATAGCCCCCAGCGCTGGGCCAAG